AATGATGGGGGATTGGAAAACAGGAGATATTTCAGAAATAGGATCAACAGAACCAAGGGATCAAAAGGTGGAGCACTCAAAGATATGTCCGGATGTATGACACAGTCCTGGCAACAGTCAAGGCAGTAAAGACCCAGGGTTCAGCTCAGGGTCTGAATTTAGCAGGCTTGGGTTCAAAATCCAGCTCGGCCATTTACCATTGGGTAAACTGGAGAAAATTACTTCTGCTCTCCAGGTCTTAAAAAGAAGAGCCTAATAGCACTTACCTCCAAAAGTTGTTGTGAAGATTGAAACAGAATACCATGAGTCAAGTGTTTAGCAGAGTTTCTGGCACTTAGTAATTGCCCAATAAACAGTACTACTAGCCAGTAAGGCAAACACAGGGAAGCTTCTTCAACCTCAGGTTGTGGAATCCATGGTTTGAGAGGTTTTTAGTGAGTGGACACTGTGAACTCTAAAAACAATTTTCCACTCAGTGGAATAGCTCTCCCGACTCCTTAAAGTTAAGTTGAAAAAAAGAATATATAACTGAATATTTGGTTTTATATTAATTGTGAGTGCCTGGTATATATATGTATGTATGTGTATGCCTCTGTATTTCTAGGTATACTTGTGCATGTACACATAAACATATACTAATTAGGTCATTGAAATCATATTAAAACATTAATACTAATTATCACTAGATATTAGATTATGGGTGAATTTAACTTTTATCTCTATTATTTCTGTTATCCTTTACAACTTTTCTATAATGAATAAGTATGACTTTTATAAATAAGGGACAAAAGTACATGTTCTAAAATACCTTCCCTTTAAATATATGGATTGAAATCCTACTATGTGTCAGATACTACACTAGAAACTAAGGATACAACAATGAGAACCCCTGCCCTCAGCCCACCCCCCACACACACATACACATACAGGGGAACAAAAAAAGCAACAAAAACCACCTGAAACCACATGTGCACATACCAGAAAGCTGGAACTTGAAAAATCAAGTTCAAATGTAACTAGGATACTCCAGAAGCAATAAAAATGATAAGCTCCATTGACACCATCCTAATCATGTTTTTAAGTCTGACAGAAGATCCAAAAGAATTTTCTAATTCTCCTATTTTGCAAGGGTTCAGTAGGAAACTCCACTGTTCCCTCCTTTTTAAGATTTTGCTTCCTCTTATTTAGTAATTCCTATCCTGAGGGAATATAATACAATTCTGCAATGTCCAAATCAACTTTGAGTCTAATTAGTAGAGATAGCTCCCCTGGAAACTACAATCCTCCACAGGGAGACTTATTTCAGCAACAAAGGCTTTCTTTAGACGGTATATAAGGGGGTTTCTATTTCAAAGTACAAACCCTTGCCTCGCTGCACATTCAGGGAAATTTAGAACAGTACGTATTTTTCTGAGCTCCTACAGACTTAACGAAAACAATTTGGGCCTCTGGAAAACTCTCCAACATCTTGACTGTGTGTGTCAGCACAACTGATATGCCTGCCTTTGACTCACTATAACAAGGAGATTCTAGCTCAAAGTTGTCAGTGTCAGTTTCAACTGGTGTCTGTGTGAAGAGTAATGGAAATGATCAATTAAGGGTGCTCACTCTACCCTCTATATCTTTTAAAATTAAGTACATATTGAAATGATGGACTTTATACAGATGACAGTATAGGCATTCTGTGTCTACCCCTGTCATTTATTCTCACTGCTGTATTTCTGGAATTAGGATTCATGTTCTGTCATCTTGAATATTTTAATACTTTACTGATCTCATATGTGTTTAGCCATAGGAGGAAAGCAGTAAAATAAAATTTTATAGCCAACAAAGTCCTTTATACCTAAAGTTTATTGCACTTTTTATATTGTGTTTAACAACACATGGCTCCTTGAGACTCTGAAATAAACATAGCTTCCTCAAGTCGCAGTGGGCTTGTGCTCTTTCATTTCTTGTTCAGAGTTGATTCCATCGTCACGATAAAAAGAATTCCTGATAATTGGCCAGAGAGGCTGCAATTCTATCAGGCAGGTGCTTCTTTCTCTAAAAGTGTTAAGACAACCTTAAAGCTCCTTTGTGTTAGAAAAATGCCCCATTTTTTAATTTGCTCCCCAAATACAGGTATTCTCCATTCAAAGTGACCCTTTTCCATGGACTCCCCAGATTACATTCAATTTCAATCAGTAAGTCAGGGATCAATCAATTGATGAGATATGAAGGAGCCCATTGACTCCTAAAGTAGTTGATATTTTCCAGCAACAACTTTTCTCACTGGCTAGCGTCTTTAAAATTTTATGATAATGATAAAACTATTGTTTTATGTAGTGATGATTTCTTGGAGTAATTAACACTACCCTATTTTTGTTCTTTGGTTTGCAAAGTTGGCATGGTGGCCCAAGAAGTGAATAGAGAATTGCAATATGGTTCAGGACATTAGAGTAGTTTCTATTGCTCCCTGATTGAGCTAAATAACTGGTTTGGGGGATTTTTCAGTGCTTGTTGTTGTTGTTGTGTATATGAGTAAAAAGCAAACAAGGGCTTCCCTGGTGGCCCAGTGGTTGAGAGTCCGCCTACCGATGCAGGGGACACGGGTTCGTGCCCCGGTCCGGGAAGATCCCACATGCCACGGAGCGGCTGGGCCCATGAGCCATGGCCGCTGAGCCTGTGCGTCCGGAGCCTGTGCTCCGCAATGGGAGAGGCCACAACAGTGAGAGGCCCGCGTACCGCAAGAAACAAAAACAAAAACAAAACAAAAAAAAGCAAACAAACAAAAAATCTCTAGGTTTTTCCATAACACAAGTTGCAGACAGAATTGCCATCCCAGAAGAATATAATGTAATGAAAATATCATTGAACTGGCTTCAATTCCAAGTTCTCATGATATTATTCTGAGGGGGGGGTGAATGCAAATTATTTCATTGCCCATGCGTTAAAAACTGAATTTAAAAAAATAGATTAGATTTCACAATTTGTATGGAAACACAAAAGATCCCGAATAGCCAAAGCAATCTTGAGAATGAAAAACAGATCTGGCGGAATCAGGCTCCCTGACTTCAGACTATACTACAAAGCTACAGTAATCAAGATAGTATGGTACTGGCACAAAAACAGAAAGATAGATCAATGGAACAGGATAGAAAGCCCAGAGATAAACCCACGCACATACGGTCACCTTATCTTTGATAAAGGAGGCAGGAATGTACAGTGGAGAAAGGACAGCCTCTTCAATAAGTGGTGCTGGGAAAACTGGACAGGCACATGTAAAAGTATGAGATTAGATCAATCCCTAACACCATACACAAAAATAAGCTCAAAATGGATTAAAGACCTAAATGTAAGGCCAGAAACTATCAAACTCTTAGAGGAAAACATAGGCAGGACACTCTATGGCATAAATCACAGCAAGAGCCTTTTTGACCTACCTCCTAGAGAAATGGAAATAAAAACAAAAATAAACAAATGGGACCTAATGAAACTTCAAAGCTTTTGCACAGCAAAGGAAACCATAAACAAGACCAAAAGACAACCCTCAGAATGGGAGAAAATATTTGCAAATGAAGCAACTGACAAAGGATTAATCTCCAAAATTTATAAGCAGCTCATGCAGCTCAATAACAAAAAAACAACCAAACAAATCCAAAAATGGGCAGAAGACCTAAATAGACATTTCTCCAAAGAAGATATACAGACTGCCAACAAACACATGAAAGAATGCTCAACATCATTAATCATTAGAGAAATGCAAATCAAAACTACAATGAGATATCATCTCACACCAGTCAGAATGGCCATCATCAAAAAATCTAGAAACAATAAATGCTGGAGAGGGTGTGGAGAAAAGGGAACACTCTTGCACTGCTGGTGGGAATGTGAATTGGTACAGCCACTATGGAGAACAGTATGGAGGTTCCTTAAAAAACTAAAAATAGAACTACCATACGACCCAGTGATCCCACTACTGGGCATATACCCTGAGAAAACCATAATTCAAAAAGAGTCATGTACCAAAATGTTCATTGCAGCTCTACTGACAATAGCCAGGACATGGAAGCAACCTAAGTGTCCATCAACAGATGAATGGATAAAGAAGATGTGGCACATATAT